GAGGCGACGGACGCCGGGGCGGGAGAGGCCGCCGATTTAGTGTCGGGCTTAGCGGGTTAGCAGCAAGGGGGCCTGTCCTAAGGACGGGACGCTGGGGACTGAGTGGCTTCGGAAGCTGGAGGAGGGAAACAAGGGTTTGGCCAAAGAGGAGCATTTCCCTTTAAGCTGAGAAGGGGAGACAGGAGGGGTCAAATAGGACGACATGTGAATCAGCTCAGGCGAGCTGGGGATTTCTAGAAATTCTCATGCCAGGCTAGGGGTGGACTTTTAAAAATAAAATATGGCCCTATTTTCCTCCTCACAGTGTTTCCCTAAGGCGCTAAACAGTGATTACACTTGTGCCAAACAAACGGCCAGAAACATGCACCATAAGTTACACACAAGACCCAGGCAATCCTTAGTTAGGAAGGCTGTAATAAATAGTCCAAGAAGATGGCATTATCTGAATAAACAGTGAAGGGAAAGCGCCTTGGTTAAGTAAGGAGACAGGATTTTACGGTCCAGAACCATGGTTCTGCTCTGGTTTAATATAAATATGGCGCTGAGAGGGGAAAAGATCTCAGGAAGCATCTCTTCTTTTTTATGAAAATAACCTGGCTGAAGTTTTTCTGTCCTTCACCCTTACTTACCCCTTGTCTGCTTTCGCCCTGAATTTAGGCGGCTCATTGCTTTTAACTTTTATTTCAGCAACCCTTACCCATAAGAATCGGGCTCCTCCATTAAGTGGAACATCTGACAAGAACAAAACCTTATTTTTTTCATCTTCCTTAAATGCTCATTCTGCAGACATGCTGTAGGTTATATATATATATATTTTTTTTAAAAAGCAACTTATTTTTCTGGCCCTCCTCCCCCAATTTCCCCTAAGAATCAGAGAAAGGAAGGAGTAGGTGAAATGTCAGGGAAATGGGAAACCTGCCTGATTTTGCGGGGCTCAGAGAAGACGCTTGTGTACTGAACAGGAACTGGGGGCTTGTGCCACCAAAGGGGCCGCAAAGTCCGAACTCTTCTCTGGGGAGGGGGAAGGAGGGTGGCGGCTGCGTCACTGCATCACAAAGGAATAGGGTGAGAACTCTGTGAACAAAGTAGGTGCTTTATAAGGATTCATGAATTTATTTGACTTCAGTTTACAGTGCTGCCTCTCTCCTAGATTGGAAACTAATGCAATAAAATGTACAGATATATAATGTTAAAAGGTCTCTTTCATGCTAGGCTAGCCACAGGTCTTTGAAAATTCATTAGTTTAATTTTACCATTGAAAACAACAGAGCCGACTTTACAAAAAGATAAGCTGCTTGGTAGCAACACAGCTAGTCTTTCCACCAACTGCTTGCCGTTTACAGGGCACAGCCTGGCCACTGTATTCATGAGCCATCCATCAGGTACAGAAATTGTTAAGTGAATGTACACATTTGGTCTAGGAAACATCAACAAGCCTAAATACCTGTAACAAGCACACTTCATTTTAGGACAAGAGGGTTTTTTTTCTTTGTTTGTCTTACATATACAAAATCCCACAAATTTAATGTGCGTCAATATCCATGCAGTAAATAAATGTTTTTACAAATAGGTTTTTTTTAAATGATAAAAATATTACACTGGACCCAAAATTCCATACAAACATTAATACGTGGTTTCTCATCCATTTTGACTAAATATAGGATTACTGAAAATGTGCTGTAGAAAGGCCACTTTCCTGTACAGTTGTGCAAAGTCTGCAAAACGACAGTGATTCACTGGTGGTTTCAAAAGCAAAGAAAAAGATCCCCGCTGTGGAGTTTTTACTTTCTCCTCTACAGCAAAAATATTCACTGGCTATATCTGAACTCTTAGAGATGAAAGTACATTCACTGCGCTGTACAGGCAACGGGATAAAGCTGATTAGAAGTAGAGTTTAGGGTACAGGACAGGAAGGAGGCTCCCTTCCTCCGGAAGAAACAGCAGATTGTGGCTGGGACGTGGTGCAGCCAGACACTAAAAAGCAGCACAGTCATTGTCATGCTGTGATCACTTTCAAAACGAGATGCTCGTAAGTGGAACTATATGAACAGGACATTCTCATAGACTTCATCCACTTGACAGAACAATTCACGAAGCCGGAAAAACCTCTATAAATTGTTTCTTTCATTTGATTCAACGTAAAAGATCTCTGAATGGCCGTCATCCTCTTGCTCCTCTGGAGAGAGGTACATTGTAATTTTTTCACATTGCTTTCTCTATTATAATACACATCAGCCTGTAATTAAACATCTTTTATTTCCCTGCCTGAAGTATAATTCCGTAAGTTTAATTAATGGACTAGCGGGAAAACTGGAAACTGGAAAGTTGATTCATTTCAGTTTATACCTTGTAGTTTTTTTAAGAGTTGCAGTTTATAAAACATGAGCTTGGACTGAAATTTTATATATATATCTGCTAGCTGCCTTTCTGGGTGAGTTAAGTGTGTTTTAAAAAATCCACTCTCAAATTCCTCTGTACACAATCAGCATATCATCACTACAAAAATAAAGGAAGATTTAAACCAAGAAAATAAAGCAGCTCTATCTTCAATTTTGGTCTTAGTTACAAAAACATCTTACAAAGCTTTGCCCTGATACACCAGTAAGTGTCCCCATAGATGTGGAACAGTACTCCCATTAACCAGCTTTCACAAGTTAATAGACTATTAAGACGAATATTAGATACCTGAACTTTTCTTATGTTGATGCTTTTCTATTTTGCTTAACTCTTGTAGGCGCATCTACATTTCACAAAAATAAAACTACAGCATTAAACTTTGTGCAATGTTTAAGAAAATTCTTAGAACATTTTAATAAATATAAAAAAGGTTGAAATTCTTGCCCACCCACAAGGATGTCTGCACCTGAAAAAAAGTGATTTACTTTTGAAGTCTTTTTTATATAAAATTAACTTAAAGGGAGAAAAGATGACCTTAGATAGAAAACTGCCATTTTGTGTGTGTTTTTCTACTTGAAGACCACCTGTCTTCAGAATAGTCTCCAAAAGTTAATTTTAAATCATTGAAGACAGTTAATTTTGCACATGGTAAACATAAGCTGAGCACTAACTGCATATAAAATATACAAATGCTCATTAAAGACAATGGTATTATGACCATATATGGTTTGTTTCATATAGTTTAGTAACACTGAAGTATAGCTTGTCAAGTGTCCACACATTGATATAAAAACTACCTTATATACTTGTTCAAAGTATCAGAAGGTACCAGATGGCCTGAAGTCAGAATACACTTACACGTGCGTTTCGATGTACGAGTGAGTGTGTGTTAGAGAGGGAGTGATTACATCTACTTCAGAAGAAATACTTAATGGGTCATTTGAGGTGGTGTTTTGACAGATATCCAAGAAAAGATCGAGGTACATCTGCTTCCACTGTTGGAATTCTTTAGATGTCAAGTCTGGATTGTCGAGGACTTTATCAATAATGGCTACTTCCCCTTCTCTGGCCTGAAAAGTAAAAGGATTCAATAGTTAAGATGTGGACAGACTTCTGTTCAAGTTTAAAATACAAAGTTAGTAGGCAAAAATTAAGAAGCCCATGAGAAATGGCTCTCCTGCATCCAAACCCAGCTATCTGGACTAAAATCCTAGCGTACTTTTTGAGACCCCCCCACGCACGCCTTGCGTTGCCCACTGTCTGTGGTTTACTTTTTCTCACTTTTCATCTCTGCTATGGAAACTTGCCTCGTTCTTTAAGATCCAGTTCAAATGCCTCTCATTTCTTGAAGCCTCCCTTCAACAGTTGGAACAAATGTTCTCTCCCTCATCGATGCCCCCATAACGCATTATCACTGCCATTGAGTGCATGTACCACATTTTGTTTTAAGTTAACTTTTTTTACACTGTCCTTTCTTTCCTGCTAGGTGGCCAGTCCCTGTCTTTTATGGGCCCAAAGAAGGGGCAGAGAAATCTAGGGAATGTTCTGAAGAAAGTGGGAAGACACACTTCTGGGCTAGCCAGGCTTGAGGTGAGAAGACAGCCACATGCCTAAGCAGTTGTTTTGGTCCTTGGGGCCAGACAGAGTGAGCAGGACTGGGTCCGAGGATGTTTTAAGTCACCCCGTGCTTGGTGAGGGGCCTGTTACGATTCCAGGAACCACACACCATGGTTGCTTAGGCCTCTAATGGGAGGTTTCCATTTCCTATTAATTCCCCACACTGAAAAATATATAGCTCTATGGTTTGTTTTTCCCAATGAGGGGCATTTCTTTTTTAAAATTAAATTGATTGGGGTGACACGGGTTAATAAGACCATGTAGGTTTCAAGTGTCCATTTCTATGATACATAATCCGTATACTGCATTGTGTGCCCAGCACCCAAAGTCAAACCATCTTCTGAGGGGCATTTCTTTACAGTGGCTTTTTGTCACCTTGCTTTGCCCCAGAGTAGAGCACAGCGTCACACACCCAGTGACTCATCAGTACTCACCTAATGGAACATGCTCTTTGCCACTAGAAGAAAACGTTTTTGTTTTGTTTTGCTTTGGAATCTACAGAGCATAAAAGATAGGGCTGAGGGATTGAGAGAAAGAGGGACAGGACCAGGTCTTTAAAATATGTGAGCCTGACCCACTTGGAAAGGCCCGCCTGCTGCTCTAACGCCTGCTGCTCTAACCGGGCTTTTTGACCTGAATGGAAGGGGGGGGTCTGTTAGGTGAGAGGGTAAAGGTATCTTTGGAGTAGGATTGGTCACCAGAATTATCCTCACAAATATTATACATCTTTTAAAAAATTTTGCTCTTAGTTACCAGAAGGCCATTAGGTTGTCCCATGGATTTGCAATAGTACTTGTATGAATACCAACTGAAAGCTGATTTACTCTGAAAACTCCAGTGCCTGCTACAGGACATTTTTTTCAAATAACGCATTTTCTCTTTTCTCTTTTTGATACCTATGTTTCAAAATCACAAAACCTCAGCAACATACTATGAATCTGAAATATTTTCCGAAGGAGCCCTTTGACCTTTTGCTCTATAGGATAGCTTTTTTCTGTTTTTGATTTTTTAAGGGAGCAGTGGGTGCTTGCAGGAGAGTTTGCATGGCGGGCCCTCTCCCCACCAGACACACATGCAGAGGGCGCTCACTGTCCTA